AGGATTGAGGAATTACAAAAGGAATAAAGATTCTTGTAAAATTTTATAAATAATTTTTAATAAAATCTGCCGTTACACTGCAAACTAGTATTTTTTTTCTTATTTTCCTACAAAGCACGCAGTATATTAAAGCATTTTGCCTTAATTCGTCTAAAAGACTTAATTTCCTTTTAAAGACAAGATTTGCTCTTAGTATTTTTGCATATCACCGCCTTTAAGTAACGGATCTCTTGCCACAATTGACATATGATCACAGATCTTCGAACTGTAGTTCGTGTAAATGGGCAGCTCGTTATTTTAGAAACGTTAAGGAAATATTATGACCCACCATTTTTTTCATAACACATTCAAATGCTTTGTCGATTATAATGTTTTCTAAACTTGTGAAGATTGTAAACTTGACGTTACCAGATGGCACTCGTCATGCTAGTCAGGTTTTGGAAATTCAAGGCAAGAGAGCGATTGTTCAGGTATTTATAATCATTTGATTAAAATAAATATGTTTTTTATAAAGATTATTCTTTTAATTTTATATAATTTGCCCCTTAAGGTGTTTGAAGGCACATCAGGTGTTGATTCCAAAACATGTTGAATTTACTGATGATATCTCGTATCGGAAGACCTGTTAGGTCGTATTTTTAATGGATCCAGGAAAGCTATTGATAAAGATCCAAAAATGTATTTGCAGATGATTTTATATATCAATGGTTAATATCATATAATTATGTGTGATTGCAAGCTTCAAATTTTGTTATTAAAGTTTTAAATTTTTTTTTTAGGGTCTCTAATAAATCCATATTCACGTATCTACCCAGAAGAAATAATTCAGACTGGTATATCAGCCATAGATACAATGAATTATATAACGCTCGGTCGAAAATTCCAATTTTTCTGCTGCTTGACTACCGCATAATGAGGTAATGTTGTTTTATAAATTCTTTTTTATTTTAAAGAACTCACTCGATAGTACATTTTATTAGATCGCTGCGCAAATGTGCTGCCAAGCTGGTCTTGTCAAAAAGTCGACAAGGGTGTGTTTGATGATCATGAAGACAATTTCCCTATTTTAATTGTGGCTGTGGGCGTGAATATGGAACTGCTCGTTTCTTTAAGCAAGATTTTGAAAAGAATGGATCTATGGAACGTGTCTCATTATTCTTCAAACTTGATTAATGATCCAACGTAAATTTTACTTTCAAAAAAATGAGATTTGGTTGTATTCGTTTTATATTTTCGTAATTAGTATATTCTATTGTTTAGCATTGAACGTATTATTATTCCACGATTGGTTCTTACTACTGTCAAATATTATGCGTATCGAAAAGCATGTTTTGGCCATTTTAACTGATATGAGTTCATATGCAGATGCTTTTGCTGAGATAACAATGCAATCAAGTTTTACTTCTTGGATGGTTTCATGCTTAAAAATTAGAAAGTTTTGCCGCACGCTAAAGATAGGTCGTCGTTGATATATGTATACTGATTTATCTACTAAATATGAACGTGCAGGTCGTGTTGAAGAAACGGCAATATCATGCAGAGCAATGGTATTATTAGTATAAGTTATTCTTTTGGTATTCTTCTGCTACTATTTATTATTATTTTCATTTTTATCAATGGTTTAAAAGTGTTTAACAATATTTGGCCTACTTTTCTTGTAAGATATTACTCATCTTATTCCTGATCTGACAGGATATATTTATAGAGTGCTAAATCTTCAATTACGTAATCGTCACCAATTAATGTTTTGCCATTTCTTTCTCGACTGATGAAATTTGCAAATGCCGAAGGTATGACAAGAAAGTTTTATCGTGACATTTTTAACCAGCTTGTAAGTGCTTAAAATTATGTTATTTTCAGTATTTTATTGCGCGTTATGTACTTTTTACTAAATCAAAATTTCAACTTAATAGTGTACTAAGTACGCCATTGGCCACCATGAATGCGGTAATAGAAGAGGCTCTTAATCAAAAAGATAAAACTTTAGAAGTTTTTTGAAAAACATACATCTCTCAAGATATTATGATATTTTCTGTCTTATTACTATTATTGTATCTATTATTGTATTTTTATGCTGTTATGATTCCAGATGTATATGTTTTTCGAACAATTTATGAATCATTAGATCAAGCTTTCGTATATTCCCTAAAGGAATGTTGAATCGTATGTCACAAAACTTTTGCATTAGAAAATCTGAAGTAGAATCGTCAAAGGTAGTTCAGGTTCTATTAAAATATATATATATGATAAAGAATCTGCTCACTGTTTTTGATCAATAAATTCAAAAAAAATTTTCAATAATTAATTTTCATATGGTACTATGTCGGCTAGAAAAAAATGAAATTTGCTGATTTCGGATACTAATATTCGATAATGATAATTAAATTAGTAATAAAATGGCGACATTTCATAGGGCTGGAGCCTTCCTTGTCAGTAGTGTTACAAATCGAAAGTCGAAAGTTGAAAAAATTGATTAGTTGGTTAGTTGACAACTAATCGATTGAACTTAATCAATTAATCGACTAATCGATTAGTTGCAATTACTAATCGACTAAAGAATTAATCGATTGTTGCAAAGAATCAATTGAAAAATTATTTATTTACTTAATAAATTAGTTGCAATTAATCGATTAGTTGTAACCAACTGAAAAGATAACCAACTAATCGATTGAAAAATTTTGCCGATTTGTAACGGCAGATTTTATTAAAAATTATTTATAAAATTTTACAAGAATCTTTATTCCTTTTGTAATTCCTCAATCCT